TTTCAATAATAATAATAATAATAATAATAATAATAATAGTTCTTAGCTATAACCATAACTGAGAAAGTATGCAGATGCTTCCAAAGTTCATGGAACAAATTCCACTATCTTTCATTTATCACAAAATTTTCCAAGTGCTCTGTGCAATATATTCAAATTTAGTTTTCTATTAACTATGATGGGTTAGAAATGGCTTGCCTGAGTGTACATAGACTTGCAAATTCACAGGGTACTCAAACTGGAAAAGGACCGTTAGAAATAAGTGGAGAGGTAAAGTGGGTATAGCATCACAACACAAATAATTTGAGAAAGAGACATAGTATCCAGATTCTATGTAATGATGCATTTGCTGTTATAGAAAGTATTAATCATAACACACTTTTTGACCACTGCTGATAGCTGTTTGGAAAGATAGATACAAGATTTATAAAAAAAAACTACCCAATTCTCTGACTTTAGAGCTAGACTAGTTATCTCGTCCCCTATGTTTGACTGACAGTAACAGAGGCTTAAACAAATAGGGAATTGTTTCTCTCACATAGCAAACAATTTGGTAGTAGGGGTTGTGAGTTCAGAGGCTCACCGGTGTCTCTAGGACATAATCTTTTCCTATATTTCTATGTTATCATCTTCAGTATATTATCTTTTCATTCTTCTATTTGTGAAATTATTGTTGCAAGATGACTTCTCTGCTGTAGGCAGTACATTCACCCAAAGTTAAACAAGAGGGAACGTGGGACTTCATCTGAATCGTTCATAAGAAAAGCAAAAGCCTGTCCAGAAGCCATGTGAAGTAGTTCCTCTTAGGGATCTTTTAACCTGGTTCATCAAGCCAATCAACACCAATGCCTGGCAAAGTCCCTGCAAATGTTATGTGATGACTGGCGATCTCATTTCTTAAATCTAGAGAAGGTAGCCTCCTTTTCACAACCATAGGTGGCCTCTGCTTGGTGGATAAACGGTGACTAGTATCTGTTTCAGGGGATGAGTAGTGGGCTCTCCTTTGTCCTCGTTGCTTACTACTGGGGTTGTTCGTTGAATACCCTTACAATGCCTACCAAACAAAGGAAATCAGGATGAAAAAGAAAATCATGGGTTTCTTACAAAAAAAAAAAACAGAATAAAGGAAACAAAATAAAAAAACAAAGAAGAGACAGTCACTAGTTGTATAATAATTAAAAACCTGGCTAAAATGTATTATTGAAACCCATTCAATCACTGATTTATCTTTTCTGTTCTTACAGGGTGCTCAGAAGTATAATCATCTGACTGTATCTTTGAAAGAGCATTAGGATTTGGGAAGCATCTTAATAAACACTAACTGAAGCTACTCTGAAGAAAACATCATTAATCATGTCATCCGATAAGAGATTCTGTCAGCGTTATGCTTAGAAATTTATACTCAGACTGAATTCCAGTAGACAACCCCAGTGTGCATTAGGGATTATGAAAGCGAAGTCTTCTTTGTTTATTATAAATATTTTTAAAATACTGTGTAGACCTAATTTCTCAAATTGGAACCTACCCAAACACATTTCTTCTTGTTACTTTTCTTTGTGATATGGGTGAAAGCTTGCCTAGGAAATTGATTTTCCATTCAACACTTCATACAGACTTGGTTTTGTGACTCTGGTTGCAATCCTTACACTACACCAGTACTCTTCTTACCCTCCCCTCTGTCCTTCTGCCCTACTCCTTCTTACCCTCTAAGCCTTATTCCTGGGCAAATGCGGCCCTTTGTTCTCATACTCACATCCTTGGTTCTTCCACCGGTTGTCTAAGTGGGCACCTTTCTGGTGTTATTGTTAACCTCATAAACCCACCCACTACCATCAAATTGATAGCAACACAGCAACACTATACAGGGTTTCTGAAGCCGCAATCTTTACAGGAGCCAGTAGCAGAGCTGCTGCATGAGTTTGAACTGGCTACCTTTTGTTTAGCAACCCAAGGCATAGTTCACTGTGTCATGAGGGCTTCTATGTTCACCTTGTGGGCCTTTCTATTGTTTGGTCTGAAGTTGCTCCATGGAGTGAGTTCAGTTTTAGGCTTGAAGGATGACTAAGGCCCATAGTGGGTTCTTGGAAGTCCCACCTAGTCACATTTGATCTCCCAGTGGCAGACTTTTCTCAAACTAGTTTATTTTTGTGCAGTGTTACTGCATGCTCTCCTGAAACTTCTGTCTTATATTTTATCAGCCACGCATTGAGAAAGCTACACAGACTTCTCATTGCATTTTTAAATGAAAAATTCTTAGATTGATATTTATGATGCCTATTTATCAAATGTTAAGTTTACCCGCCAGTGTGGTGATTAAGCAAAAGGAACCCTGGTAGTATAGTGGGTCACACGTTGAGCTGCAAACTGCAAGGTCGGCAGTTTGAACCCACCAGCTGCTGCTCCACTGGAGAGATATCTTTTGAGTTTAGGTACAATGGCTATAATAAGAGATTGCCAACTGATTCTAAAGGCGCTAACAACACGGGAAATTCCTAGAGGTAAAAGATCCAAAAAAGCCAACTTCCACAAAATAATATAAAAACCATACAACTTTTGATCCAATTCTGCTTCCCGAGGGCCCATTCTGTTGCCGAGTAGACCTCCTCCATGAAGTTTTCTTGCCTGTAATGTTCCTGGAAGCAGACTGTTAATTCTTTCTTCTGTGGTGTCCCTGTGCAGACTTAAACCTTCTTCCTTTAGATTCATAGTCAAGCACAAAGTGTTTATGCCACATAGAGACCTCAGGGGCTAAAATATAGGAGCCCCAAATGCAGTTAAGGAGCCTTGGTGGCTTAGGGGGTTATATGCTGGGGTATTCACCAAGGTCAACATTTTGAACCCACCAACCACCATAAAGATTTATAGCCTCGGAAATGCACAGGGCCTATTCTGCTCTGGCCATGGGGCTGTTCTGAATCAGAATCAACTCCAAGCTTGAGTTCTGAGAAATGAGGTTATGGAGAAAATTTTTAGAACAACTCCACAGAGGCATTTAGCATGGAGAAAGGGAACTGTGTATGAGAAACTGTTGAATTTTAAATAAAATTCCTCAACTTTTAGGCCAGTGGGCTTCAGAATTTGCCACAAAAGACCATTCATGAGTACATGTCTCAGAAATCTTTGTCCCAAGGGGAATTTCAGCATCAATTCTGGGGCTTTAGAAATTAGGTATTACCCAATTAAGTTATAAAACCCTCCCCCCAAATAGGGTATCCTTGCCCCCAGAAGGCACATACCACAGAGGAAAGACCTCCTGCAATGCTTCCTTATCACAAGTGTTGTGCATTGGCAGTGAAACAGATAATTTTAGAAAGTAGAAGAGTTTTGTAAATTACTATCTTCAAAGGGAACTGAGATAGATTACTAAAATAAAAATAATGGCAAACAACAAAAAACAAGAATGAAAAGAAATGTCATATTTGGAAAATTAAAAAGTTGGTTGCTGATACTGGAAAGAAATTAATTGGTGTCAGTAACCTCTCTGCCAAAGTAGAAAAATATGCTTAGTATATTTATATGAATGCTTCCCTGCCAACTTCCCATGTTGTGTGGACATCACTTTAATTTCCAGATTTAAAAATAATTATTTTATGTAGTAACTCCATTTTATGTGAATTTTACCTGAAATGTGACCAAAATTTTAACAATTATTTCTTGAATATGTATATCCCTATGTTTCACTTCATTATTTTTGCTCACTATTTTTCCATTTGTTCCTCTCTTCAAGTAACACTTTTAGAAAGCATTCATAGTGATAGTTTCTGAATTTTTTTACTGTACAAAATGCCTTAATTTTGCTTTCAGATTTGAAGGAAAGTTTGAGTGAGGCCAGAAATATAGGTTCAAAATAATATTCCCTTAGAACTGCAAATATTCCACTTTGCTGATTACTCAGCTGTTCAAATGAGATGTTTGATTGCAATCTGAATATTGTTTCTTTAAAGCTATCCTGTTTGTATTTTACCTTTTAGAGAATTTGGGGGATGTTTTTTATATGCTTGGTGATCAGAAATGTCACATGTCTAGGTGTAGAATCCCTGCCCCCTCTGCCCCACATCTCTAGACACTTTCTTAGTTTCCTCCAAAGAGATAATGACATCTTTTTAACAGAAATGCCATTTTGAAAAGCCAAAACAGATCCAAGGGAGGAAGATGATAAAGTTTTTAATCCAAATGAACTGCTCCCCGAAATTTGTTACTGTGGTGGTAGTAAACTAAGGAAGATAAACCCAAACCATCAACTGCAAATGTTAAATATTATTTAGCAGTAAACAAGGGTGCTTTCTAGAAAGCAAGCTTATTTGGGCCCAAGAGATGATGTGACCAGGAAACCATCAAGATGGCTGAAGGTAATACCAATTTCAAAAAGACCGGGTTCAAAGGGGAATGCAAAAAAAAAAAAGTCTCCAAGTAGGTGGCGGATTCATCTTTCTTCTTCCTCCCCAGAAGCATTTGTTCTATTGTGCTGCCTCCTATCCTGAGCTCACCCAATCAATGGCTGCTCAAGCTGAAAGCTTGCTCCTCCTGCCTTATGATGAGATCATCAAGGAGGACTAGGTTTGGGGTTGCCGTGGGCTCTAGCTATCACTGAGCATACATCTTGGGAGACTGGCAACCCATAGGAGGAATAGGAAGCTATGCGCTGACTTTGCGGCTAGTTGTTCCGAACAAAGAAAACTCTCAAGTCTTCATCATTTCCACCAACTGTATTCGAGCACCTCTCACAATACCCTTGAAAGTCTGTTTTGCAGCAACAGAATGGTAGTCTCCAAGCTGCCTTGTTCGCAAAATCACCAAAGAAACCAGATCAAGACAGTGCAGGTAGCACACCCCAGTAATTACTCCCAATAGGCCTGTCACCAATTAAAGATAAACTCCAATACACCGGAGCCAGTTTGGGTCTTGGGCTGGGTTTTTCATCAGTTACCAAGGAAAAACAATGAGCAAGATTGGTTTGATTTTTATTTTAAAATCAAATGTAACAACTCAGCAATTATTCTTCATAAAGGGACATGGCTGAACAGGTAAGAAACAGATTCCCCATTGTGAGTTCGCCTGATGGCTTCCGCAACGATCATGGAGATGTCGATCACCTGTATTTTGGGGCACTGCTTCATCTTATCATCCTGAGGTATGGTGTTGGTGACAACCACTGCTTCAAAGCACGCATTGTTGATGCGGTGGATGGCGGGGCCAGAGAAGATCCCGTGAGTCAAGATTGCACATACGCTGGTGGCTCCAGCAGAGAGGAGTTTGTCAGCGGCATGACAGATGGTGCCGCACGTGTCTGCCATGTCGTCCACGAGGATGGCCGCTCGGTCTTTCACGTCTCCCACTAGCACCATGCGATCCACTTCATTGGCCTTCTGCCGTTCTTTGTGGATCAAGGCGAAGTCCACATTCAGTCGGTCTGCAATGGAGGTCACTCGCTTAGCTCCACCAGCATCGGGTGAGACGACCGTGCAGTTTCTCCACTCAGCAATATTCTCCATGATCCACTTCAGGACGGCTGGCTCGGCATACAGATTATCCACTGGGATGTCAAAAAAGCCCTGAATCTGGGAAGCATGCAGGTCCATCGTGATGATGTGATCCGCGCCTGCGATCGACAGCATATTTGCAACAAGCTTGGCGGTGATCGGGGCCCGGCTCTTATCCTTCTTGTCCTGCCGGGCGTAGGGGAAGCAGGGGATCACGGCAGTGACGCGGCTGGCCGAAGCGATCTTGCACGCATTGATCATAATCAGAAGCTCCATTAGGTTGTCGTTGATTTCCCCGCAGCCGCTCTGCACGATGTACACATCCTCTCCACGCACACTCTCGCCGATTTCCACGCTGGTCTCCTGGTTGCTGAATTTCTTAGTCACCACCTTACCTAGCTCCAGGCCCAGGCGGTCAGCAATTTTCTGGGATAAGTCTTGGTGGGAGCTGCCGCTAAAGATTTTGATATTCGGCATCCTGATGAAATACGGAACAAGCCCTTGGCAAGGTCACCACTGCCAATGCCGAGACTGGCCCCAGCGCCCCAGCGCTAACGGTTTGTGGCCGTTGAGCCTCCAGGTCCCGCGCCGCCAGGCTCTCAACGGCCACGGGCTGGTTTTGAAATTCCTGCTTGGCATCCAGCAGACACAGTTAAACTAGAGAATCAAGTCTTCCTTCAACTCATGGAACTTCCCTTTGGCCTCTTATTATTTTCCTAAGACTGCCAGAGCAGATCCACACGTTAGGTATGCATTTGTTTTATGTGATACGTATCATTTGTATATTAACTATAAAATATGGAACAGCTACAAGGCGAAAAACACAAACACAAACCCCGAAGATTTAAAAGTTACAGATTAGAGAGAATGTGTGCAATATATATATATAAATATATATATATATATACACACACATTGTTTTATATATATATCTATCTCAAAATTCCTTCAATGGGGTGAGATAAAGACAACCAAATAAAAAAAGTTGGAAAATTATATATCATCACAGTAGGAAGAAAAACCAAGAAGCCCTTAAACATAATAGAAATCAAGAAAATGCTAGTTGTTTTCACATACAAGTGGCCAAAATAATATTGGTAATAATTTAATTGGATATGATAGAAAGTGAGGGTTGATTTTGTAAGAGAAATTTAATATGTAGCCTTTGACTGATATTGCCCACTTCTCAAATTCTATTCAAGAGAAACATTCACACACATACCAAAAATATATTGATAGGAGTGATTGATGCTAGGGAGTTATTCAATAAATACATCCTAATTAATCATTATAGATCAGCCATGGTACTGCTTTTAGAGTATGAAGTGGCAGATAGTAACTGTTCGAGAATTGTTAGTAAACTAAAATCCAGAAATCAACAAATGTGTATCAATAGATTATACAATTTATTGTATTTATACATGAAGCCATTAACAATACTGATTTATGTATAATCACATGGATTTTCCTTAGATGAAGAAAGGCAGTCACAAAAATATTCATAGTATGACATTTATATAGTTAGCAATATGTAAGACTCAAAGAATCACATTATTATTGGAGTCTTATTATGACTACCTTTGCTGGGGTAGGTTGTTGATAGGGAGGAAGAGGAACATTTTACTTGCATCAATTTATGAAGAAAAATTTTAATTTCAGTACTACTTTAATTAAGAAACAGTAAAAAGTGCACCTGATGATTACGTATTTATTTAGAAATTTTAAATATAAAGCTTCAACAGTGTATGGGGTATTGCTGCAGTTGGATAGGGAATGGAAAGGACCATAAATACATACTAAGAACTTCAGAGAATTGACTGTGTCCTAAAAATTATGAGGGTATCCAAAAACAGATCATATGTTCTTACCGGATTATTGGTATGTCTGACAATTGCATACTGTGGTATTTTGACTTAGCCTAAAAAACAAATGATCATATTTAGAAATGATAAGAATTTATTGAAAACATTTTCTCACCTACTTCTGGGCTTTCCCAAGTGCATCAGTGATGGATTGACCTCATGGATAGCATAAACTCAAGTAGGAGGTAATGAATTAGGTAGAAAACTGAGCTGGGTAAGATTTATTAATGTTTCTGAAACACCGTTTTATGAATAGGGTTTATGTATTTTTTTTTATTTAACAGTTTTATTGACATTTAATGGACATATCATACAATTCAATTGTTTAAACACGTTAAAGAGTTATGCAATCACCACAGTCATTTTTAGAATATTTTCTTCTTTCTTGTGCTAGTTATTCTTAGCTCATTTCCCCCCAAGCTACCTTTTGTAACCACAATAAACTATTAATGTAATTACTGCCTTCAAAAATTTACCTGTCCTAAGTTTCACATTAAAAACACACACATATGATATGACAAAATACCCATTT